TGGGCACCGGCTCTGCCCGCCCTTCCGGGCGTCCCCTCGGGGCACCGGCCCTGCCCGTCCACCTAGGTGTCCCCTCTGGGCACCGGCCCTGCCCGTCCTACTGGGCGTCCCCTCTGGGCACCCGGCCCTGCCCGCCCTCCGGGTGTCCCCTCAGGGCACTGGCCCTGCCCACCCTCCCGGACGTCCCCTCTGGGCACCGGCTCTGCCCACCTTTCCGGGCATCCCCTCGGGGCACTGGCCCTGCCTGCCCTCCCAGTGTCCCCTCTGGGCACCGGCCCTTTCTGCCCTCCTGGGCGTCCCCTCCGGGCCTGGCCCTGCCCACCCTTCCGGGCGTACCCTCAGGGCACCAGCCCTGCCTGGCCTCCCGGGTGTCCCCTCTGGGGCACCTCGCTGGGGAGCGGCCACTTTCCCAGGCCTGGGCCCAGGGTCCTTCTCCCACAGCTCCTCCTGGCTGCTGCCCACTTGGCTCCGCGTCCCCAGCCACGTGCCAGGGCTGTCCCTGCCAGGACTGAGGCTCTGGTCCCTCCGCTGGCCTCTTTCTAGGACAGCCCGGAGGCGCAAGCCAGTCACAGAAGCCTACCCCGGCGGCTCTGGGGTCCCCCTGTGCGCTGAGGTGGGGGTGCGCCTCTACCAGCCCGGCCCGCCCGGCCCGCCCTCCCCAGGCCTCAGGCCGCCTGAAGACGTCCTCCCGCCCCTGGGCATTTGGTGGGAAAGGCGCGTGCACCCAGGAATGCCCGGCCTCAAGCCTTGTGACAGTGATGCTCGGCTTGCTCAGCCCCGCGTGGGGCCGGAGGCCCCGGAGAGAAGCAGAGAGGGGACAGGAAGGCGGCGCCCTGAGGGTCACCTTCGGAACAGGGACAAATACACCCTGTCCCCAGTGCTACTGGTGAGGCGGGGACTCGCGACACCCTAGGGAAAGCCAGCAGCTCACCCCCTGAAGCCGTCCTCCAGCCACGGGCGGTTCACGGAACACCAGCCTAGTCCTCGGGGCCCAGGGCGCGGGGGGCTCAGCCCCCCCCAGCAAGGGGCCCCCCCAGAGAGCGGCCCCCACGGCGCGGCAGGAGGCGGACGCGCTCCCAGGACAGCGGCAATATGGTGCAGCAGATGGGAGGACGGATCTGGGCAGAAGCGGGAGAAGGAGTTTTCTGGGGTTTTTCTGAAGCCTGCCCCCCGCAGGAACGCGGGGCGGCAGTGGGGGGGTAGAGACGGGCTCCAGGACAGGCTGCACGAAACGGGGAGCGGCAGGCGCCGGGTGGCGGGGCCGGGCGCCCGAGGGGCC